CGAGTAACGACGACAATCCCCAAGTTCTTGTCTGTGATGAAAGCCAGAAGCTGGGCTTCTGACATCCAGTCGCGCAGGTTTTTTGGAGGGAGCGTGATCTTAAACAGAGCATCGTTCCGCGGGTCTCTCTGGGGTATAGGTCGCTCATGAAGCGCATGACGCAGAGCCTTCCTCCCAGCGAGTATTCCATCTGCGAACCAGTCGTCGTTAATTTCCCTGTCCCCACCGGTAGCCAAATACGGGATGGATTTGGCCCAGTCGGGGGCAACTTCCTCTCGGTTGTTGTCTTGTTGCCAGAAGTGGGTTTGTAACCTTGCCTTGCGACAAAGTTCCTCATACCATATCTCTGCAACTTTCTGCGAGTATCTCACAGGAAAGAGGTATTTCAAGTTAACGCTTAGCGTATACTCGACGTCTGGGGGTAGCCTAACACCGTCGAGTTTATGTACACCCGGTTTCCACGACATAAGTGTTTCAAACCAATGAAACGGCCATGTCCGCCAGATGTACATAATTTTGGCCATGTCACTTGAAAGCTCATAGAACTCCTGCGGCAGTTTGCCTGATGCATAAGGAGCTGGTGCATCTAGCGCTTCTTCTGCTGCCGCTTGGAGGAAGTGCCGCGTTTTCCGTTTTTTCCTTTGCGGTCCTTCTTCGCAACCTTGTTGGAATTCTTCTGGTTTTTGGACTTCGAGGGACCAGCCCCTCTCTGTCCTTTTCCCGATTTTCTAGCCTTGGATTTATCCATTACAGACTGTCTCTGTCTTTTGGCTATTTCTTTAACGAATTCTTCAAGAGCTTTTGGATTATCGGGAAGTTTATCCGTGCTCTTGACACTAGTATTTTTCACGGTTTCAGATTTTTTCGCCTTCACGGCCATCTGCTTTTGCGCCGTGTTTTCTCCAATAGAAACCGCCGAACAAGTCAAGGACCAGGCGCATGAATAGTCCATTAGGATGGCTTTAGCTTCGGGGCTAACGTCATTTCCTGCTACACTTTTCCATGCTTCTGAGATTTGATCGGAGTTGCGCTTGCTCTCGCATAATTTATTAAGGGCTTCCACCTCTTTGTCCTTAATAAAAATCATGCGAGTGAGTGCCGATTTCTTTGCTTCCTTAAGAGCTTCGTCGAAGGTTTTCGTTATGCTTCCTCCTTCTTCAGCAAGCTTGCTGATCTGAATGGAAGGGGCACGAAGGGATTTTAGCTCTGGGATTCTGTCGAAGCTTTCTTTGGCCAGATGATCTCTCCACTCGGAAAGGAGAAATGCAGCTGCAGCCTTTTTGATATGGGCATTGACTACCTTATCAAGGCTTTGCTTCGTTTGATCCTGAGCGACGGCTGGAACGAACGATACCAGTTGGGCTACGCTTCGGCAATTGACAATACGTTTGACGAAGGTAGTAACAACGTCCACCTGGGTGTCCAGGGTTCTGCTGACTACCTCTGTCGAGATGGTGTCTTGGCTAACCTCAACGCCATCCATATTATCGTTTGCCTGGGACTGTGAGGCAGTCCTGGTGTTTTCGCGTGATCGATTCTGCGAGCCTCTAACAGGAGTTTGAGGGCGCTGAAAACCCGGAGAGGTCTGAGATCGTTCGGACATGGTAACCAAGAGAGTTGTGGAGGAGGGTTAGGGTTAAGTGTAAATTGCAATAACTCTGTTGGATTTAAAAATCTTTCTGTAAAGTAGATACTCTAGATACCTCTTGTAAGGAGATACC